TTACACATTATATAGGCTACACTAACGTGATGTTTAGGGGGTTCGTTTAACTATCATACGTGATGTACATGTTTTTGGGGGTGGATAATTAAAGTGTTCCAAAACGCGACATTAATTTCTTGACGACCTAATAGAAGTTGTGCTGGGCAAGATTCTCAAAGATAATTTTTACACATATTGAGAAATAACACTATCAGAAAATTGCTGTGAACTACTAAAACCGTTCAGCTTTGAAAGTAACAGATATAGCCCCAAAATACTCACGTTCTTCTGACATGAAGACGCCAAGTAAAAGAAGAAAAACCACGAATAAGTACCGCATCTGTAAAGATAATAAATAAATACGTCAATATATGGCTTATACAGGGAAGGAAGGAAAGACAGATACATAGATATAAATTTGTGGAAAAAAAACATTTATGTGAAACAAATTATAATAAAATAAGTTTTTACATTAGCTCTTACCACCCTGCGTAGCCATTTTGAACATTTAGATGACAAAAAATGCAACAGCTAAGGTACAATATTTCAATATGATGGTTTTTATTTTTAACCTTAACACGTTTTTAGATTATTGTAAGTTAGTAACATTACGTTTTCTCCAATAATTGTATTTGGAAATAACATACTTTATGTTATTTTGTACATTCATTATCGTCTGTTCTTTGGCATCATTGTTTGAAGTGATGCAATTGTAAAAATTTAATAAGTTATTTTTTGTTTACATGCATAGTACTTTAAGACCAGATTAATTTACTTCAGTAGTAACGGAGAACTTTTAAGCATGTTTACTTCCAATAAAGTGTTTTGCTTTTCTGTAATACCAATGGTCAGTAGGTCAGGAAATTAAGCGTATAAAATGCCAAACTGTTAGGAGTGTTATTTCTACGCTTGAAATCTTCAGAATTAAGGTCATCATCTTCTTCTGTAATGAATCCATTAAACATAATCAAGTGACGATAAATTTATTCCTAATAATGTTCTTCTGAAAATTTCTTGAACATGATAGCCCCCCCCCCAGTGGCACAGTGGTATGTCTGAAGACTTACAACGATAGAAACCGGGTTTCGATACCCGTGTTGAGCAGAGTACAGATAGCCCATTGTTTGGCTTTGTGCTTACCTTCAAACAAATGAACGTGATAGTTGTTTCTTTGAAAGAACTAAGCTAGAGCCTTTTCTTCTTTCCTTTGTATTCTACTACTCAGAAAATAGCTATACAAAAGTGAAACTTAAATCATCATTTTACCCCACGAAAAAAAAACAACGAAGGTTTACAAACAAGTATTAGATGTGTTTGTTGTACCAATAATGCTACAATACTCTGTTCTTTTGATGGAACTGACATAGTTTCACTACCTGATTGTAATCGAACATCCAAGGATAAATCAAAAGGATACAGTAAGAACAATCGTTAATATATGGTATTTGTTATATTGTATTTTATATACCAGCATAACATGCTGGCGCCCCAATTACTTTTACAGTTACTCCAAGGGGTTTAGTGCCCGAAAACGGACCACGTTAAACTCATTCACCTCCTTCGAACAAGTGTGCTACGTTTGATCCCGCTAGCTTGTGAGAGGAGGTATGAACACAGTTTCAAACATGGTGCCCCCAGGATCCCGAAAGGAGGCCAGGAACACAAAATCCGATATCAGATTTAGGTTCAGGGACCCTAAATACCTACTCCTAGACCCTCATCATGCCTGCGTGATCTTTTGGTGCGCTTTAGTCACTTTGGTTCGAATAAAGAGGTCTATGTTATATCTATAAGGACACCTCCTAGACCACCTCGATTCCGCCTGCCAAGTTTGATCCTGCTCGCTCAAAAACTGTGGGAGGAGTTCGGGACAAACAAACACATTTACAAGTATACAAGGTGAAAGAATAATATATGATATAAATGATTTATCTATGCCCACCTTATAGCTTAAGCTATAAATAATATTTGAAAAAAAATGCTCTGAAACTTTCTAGAAGGGCATACAAACACGAAATTTGGTCAAAAACTGAATTTTGACTAAGTCACAAAACTATGCTAGAGATATACTTTGATGTCTTTAATTCTTTATGAAAACTTGGTGATTCGATGTATTATTTTACACGATAATTCAGAAACTATTGGACCAATGTTCTTGATTTTTGATGAAAATATTTTCAACTATAGTAGCTACTATATTAGTTACGAAAAACTTAATATCTTGCTTCAAAATGAGTTTATGGTAATCGAAAAATGTAAATATGAATAAGCTATTATAAAAATTCTAAAATCTGTATCAATACTTTGTTTTCCAGAATTAGGACTTATTAGATCATATTATAGTTCTAATATCATGCTGCTGAAAACTAGTAGACATTTGTGAGTAGTTTTAAACTAGTTGACATTATTTTGTCATTAATAAGGTCTAATGCTGGTGTATGGGTGTGGCCTAGTGATTAGCGTACCCGGATCGTGAATCCGAAGGCTCATGGTAATCGGGGTTTTCTTTTGGGCCGTGGATGAGATAGAAGGGTGACGGTCAAATCTCACTATTCGGTCGGACAAGAATAGCCCATGAGCTGGTAGTGTGTACTGTTGTCTAGCTACCTTCTCTTTAGTCTACCAGCTCAGAATTAGGGTTGACTTTCTGCGGGTAGCTCTAGCATAGCTTTGCACGAAAATACTCAAGCCAGCAAATACTTGCTGCTTCTTACAAATAAATACATTTCAGTAACAATTTATTAATTAATGGATTTGAAAAATATTTACACCAAAAGAAAGATTCACCTTTTTCTGCCAGATTGTCCATTTTTATTAAGATATTTTAATAAATGAAAGAGATATTTGAAAACATTTCCAGAACCCCCCTTCCCCGGGGAGTTATAGAGGCTTGCGTCTACAAAATGTCCTCATGTATAAAACTATAACGATTCTTTATAACATTACGCGAATTTTCTCAGAATTGTTGTTTATATTTTAAGGAAACTACTAACTTAGATTCTGCATTAATGTTTATCAACCAAAACAAAATGCATATAGATTTGGATAATAGTGTAATTATACTTGCTTTGTTGATTGTTTTAACAGAATTGCTTTATCTTTAACCTATGTTATGTTTTTCTAACTTTTAATGTTTATTTGTTTCAAATGTCTATCTTTATTCGTATATTGTTTGTTTGTTTGTTATGAATTTCGCGCAAAGCTACACGAGGGCTATCTGCACTAGCTTTACACTGCTAAATTAGGGACGGACTAGAGGGAAGGCAGCTAGTCATCACCACCCACCGCCAACTCTTGGGCTACTCTTATAACCAACGAATAGTGGGATTGACCGTCACATTATAACGCCCCCACGGCTGAAAGGGCGAGCATGTTTGGTGTGACGGGGATTCGAACCCGCGACCCTCAGATTGCGAGTCGAGCGCCTTAACCACCTGGCCATGCCGGGGACTTATTCGTATATGTACAGAGCGTTACAAAACCTCTTTTGCCATTATAAGATTGAGAAAATTAATGTTGCTTTTCTCGTTTTTTTACAGATTTTTAGACAATGTCACTGAGCATTGATAAACATGTGTAGATAGATGATCTGGACTGAATGTTTTCAGTACTGTACAGATTTTGAGGGCTTAACTTTTGAGCATATTCTGAGCATAACGTACATAGACATTGAGCCTATTTTAATCAACTTTTGGGACGCCCTGTATGTACCATAACGTGTTCTCGCTTATTTTCTATCCTCCGCTGTACCGCTAATTTTCCCATGACATTATCCTCTTTGCGTCATTTTTCGACTACAGTTACGTATTATATGTTAATATACTCCTTTTCTCTCACCTTAGCATGTCTGTTTATCACTACCTTACTTTCTGTTTACAAATATGTATTATATTCTACCACCCTTCGTACTTCTACATACCACATATTATTTAAACATAAGTATATTTTAGAACATTCCCAAATACATGAAACTGTAATCTTATATTTATGAACCTCAACTATTTATTATCTCTTTCAACTCGCTCTGTATGTTTTGGATTTTTTTTTCATTTTTATTATCCTTGTAGATGTCTGTATTTTTTTCTCTTATATTCAAATCGCCAGCGTTATCCATCGTAATATTTCTGTGTTTTCCAGTGTTTGCTAACCTTGAGTGGAGACTCCGCCCTTAGAGGAGAAATGAGGCTCACGCCCTGGTGGAGTAGACACCGTTCTGAGCAGTTGCCAAGCAAAAAACATAAAAAGTAAACGCTGATAACCCAATGCATACTAAATCTTCCCCTCCCTTTTCCTCCATCTATTTGTAAAGACATCAAGGACGTGTATTGGTCGCCTAGTGCTTAAATGTACATGTATTTCTGAAAGGCTAACAAGATTGTGCGGGATGTTATCATTAACATTAGCTTATTATATCAGTTGAAGGCTTTAAGGGTTTAAATCCCACTGCAGAGTGGACTTGTGTAAGGCTAGTACAATGATCACCCAGACAAAAGGATGAGGTGTGGCAAGAACTTCAGTTAGAACAAATAGAAGAAAAAGAAGACTGGATTATCTCGGCTGCAGAGTAGTTCTTAAAATATACATATATTTGAAATATTCATCAAGTAAATACCTTTCAACAAAAGCCTAAATATACTGCAGACAAACAGAGGCAAAGAGCTGGTATAGGTGATTTTTTACAATGTGAAAGCATGTTGACTATGAATAGGTAATTAGCTTGTTTTGTTTTTGTAATTAAGCACAAAGCTACACAATGGGCTATCTGTGCTCTGCCCACCACGGGTATCTAAACCCGGATTCTAGCGTTGTAAGTCCGCAGATATACCATTGTGCCACTGGGGGGCAGGTAATTAGCTACTTTTGTGAAAAGATTAAAAACTGAGAATAAACCACTTTGTTTCTGAAGCTGGGCGTGGCCTAATAGTTAGCGTGCGGGATTGCTGATTTGAGGGTCCATGACCCATGGCCAGTTAACGCCAAATCCAACTCAGAACCTTGGAGTTGTGGGTGCATCATAAGAGTGACGGGAAAAATCCCACTATTTAAAAACAGTAGCCAAAAAGTTGCCTTCCTCTAGTCTGTCAGTTCAAAATTATGATCAGCTAGTGCAGCTAGCCAATGTGTAGCTCGTAAATATCCAAGAAATGAAACAAACTCATTCTTTCTGTGCCATTCGCATCTGAATGCAGTCTTTGGTTTTATAAAATTAATTTCAGTTGTTCCTTTTTTGTTGAGTGAATATATGTGGGTTATAGTTGTAAAATTATAATATTTTGTTATCAGAATGTATTTATTTTCACTTATATCTTCTATGTATGATGTACAAAATCTAGCTAATGG